TCTTGTTGCTGCTATTAAATCCTTCAGGCAATCAGTACAGCATTTGTTTGACTGTCAGTAAAGATTTATAACGCATCTTTTGGATATTCTAGGACTGTACGTGCTTCTATAGTCATTCAGAAGAATTACTTCAAACATCACATGAATATAGTACCTCTCTGTTAATCATTAAAGCATCCCTTTTTGCAGGCCTGTATGTGAATCTAAAGGGATGTGGTGGCTCAGTGGCTAAGAGGCTGAGCTTGTTGAACAGAAGGTCAGCAGTTTGGCGGTTTGAATCCTTAGCACCACATAATGAAGTGAGCTCTCGTTACTTGTACCAGCTTCTGCCAAACTAGCAATTCGAAAGCATGTAAAAATGCAAGTAGGAAAATAGGAACCACTTTTGGTGGGAAGGTAACAGCGTTCCGTGCGCCTTCGGCATTTAGTCATGCCGGCCACATGACCGAGACATCTTTGGACAGCACTGGCTCTTCAACTTTTAAACGGAGATGAGTACTGCCCCCTAGAGTCACTAGCACATATGTGTGAGGAGAACCTTTCCCTTTCCCTTATCTGAATCTAAAAACAAGTTGGGGTTGCTTTAAGAGTGGCATTTTAACTCCTTAAAGCAGCCCCCCCCCCCATTTTAGGGTAGTGCACACACATGAAAAAAGAGGGTGTGTTTTAATGGCTAGTCCTAGTATCATTATTTTGGACAGAAATAGAGGCTTGTGCAGTCCTGAAAAATGTCCCAGGCTACAAAAGATAGTGAGAGAAATAGCAAGCTAAAAATAACAAACAAAATATTCACATAAGCTGCACACACATATAAACACAGTTAACTTTGCTAAATTCTACTTTCTCACTAGAAGTATCAGACTCTGATCAGCTGGTTTTCATCAATCTTGTCACAAACTGTTATTACATTACAATTTTGGGAGCGATTTAGATCTTTCTGAGCTGTTCTTGATTGTAGAAGTTCCAGTCTGGCTATTGGTATTTTTATTCATCAGTCATGTTTTGATCTTCTCCTCGACTTTGGTGTATTGTTGTTTTTGTTCCATCTTAGCATGTTGAATTTCCACATAACCTATGCTTTCAGCTGGACTGTATGTACTTCATTAGACTTAAAAGAGTTCATTAGGTTCAGTATCTCACATGTTGATTGGAAAAAGTCATTTGCTGAGCAAGTTTGCAAGGAAGTTACACTTCATTGAGCCATAGATACCGTATTTCCTGGTTTTACTATCCCTTGTTTTATGTATGTCCAAAATATCCTTCCAGTTCCCTTCATCATCTTTGCTCTTCTCTGTACTTTCTAGTTCCTTAGCAATTTTTCTTTTATTGTGGGGGCCAAGATTATTACTAGCATAGCATAGGGTAGAACTGTTGTTTGCCTATTTTAACCTGCATTTCTTTTTCTACCCACTCCCCCAATCTCTGAACCATGGCATTTGAAAGGTTAGACCACTTTTTTCCTTTAAAAAAAAAGATAGGTGCAAAATAGAATAAAGCAGTTCCTTTTTTTCTGTATTGCTATGCAAGAACAGGTTAGGTTCAAATGGAAAGTTCTCCCTTCCCCTTTAAATTATACCATCCATTGCAACTATATGGTAAAACCAATAGGCCCAAAATGCAAATTGCAGAAAAGAGTTCCATTCCACAGTCAAATTGATACCCTTACGTACAAGGTGCCTGGCAGCTTGTACTAATCTCTTCTATGACTCCTGTAAACAGAGCTACTTCTACCTGCAGCAATTCTGTAAAAAAGGGAAACAAATGTTATGTTTAAAAAAGACCCAAAGATAACATTTCCAAACTGAGATTGAGAACAGCAGATAACTTTCCATTAGAATGACTGTTTGCTAAATCTTGGTAAAACAGTGGCAAGTTTGGGAACGCAATGATTCCAAAGCCGTGAACAATTCCTGGGTCATTCCTAATCAAAGGCCTTACACTTTTCAATGACTCTTTGGGTTTCCTTGGAACTTAGCTTGGTAATCAAAGAGTCTGAAAAATATTTTCAAGTCCATCAATCTTGTCGCAACTCTTGTTCAGGCTAAGGAAGAAAGCCAAACCAGACATCTCATCCGGTTGAGGTTGTCCCTGACTATCTTTTGTGTCTGACTATCTTTTGTTAACTCTTGACCATCTGTCATCCATTTATCAGGACTTCTAGTGCTAGCAGTACTTATTCCTTAAGACAGAAATTCCTATGAAAGGAGAAAAACTCCATCTCTCATCATCATCTTTTTCAGTTTTGGTTGCTTTTTACGACCAGTTTTGGTTGTAAAAAAAATGTGGAGACTCTAGAAAGAGTGCAGAGAAGAGCAACAAAGATGATTAGGGGACTAGCGGCTAAAACATATGAAAAACGGTTGCAGGAACAGGGTATGTCTAGTTTAATGAAAAGAAGAACTAGGGGAGACATGATAGCAGTGTTCCAATATCTCCGGGGTTGCCACAAAAAAGAGGGAGGCAAGGTATTCTCCAAAGCACCCGAAGGCAGAACAAGAAGCAATGGGTGGAAACTAATCAAGGAGAGAAGTAACCTAGAACTAAGGAGAAATTTCCTGACAGTTAGAACAATTAATCAGTGGAACAACTTGCCTCCAGAAGTTGTAAATACTCCAACACTGGAAGTTTTTAAGAAGATGTTGGATAACCATTTGTCTGAAGTGGTGTAGAGTTTCCTGCCTAAGCAGGGGTTTGGACTAGAAGACCTCCAAGGTCCCTTCCAGTTCTGTAGTCCTATTCTATTTCACTTTTGCACCTATTGATGGAAGGGTAATATTATCAGTTTATTTTATTCAATTGATCCTGGTGACATGCTTGGGATCACAAATCATGAATAATCACAAATAATCACAAATTATTACCATGAAGAAGAATCAATGTTATCTTCAAATTGGATGCTTATATCAACATCTGTGATTCAAGCATAGAGCAGAGAAAAAGGTTGAGATGAGCTGCTTCATACTGCATTGCATATACATAGAATAATAAAGTTGGAAGGG